CACACACACACAACACACACACAACACAACACACAGAGAGAGAGAGAGAGAGAGAGAGAGAGAGACTTTTGTCAGGCTTGCCGCGCTCAATTTTAGTCCTAAATTTTGGGCAAACAGATTTGTTTCATGTTTGTTTCGAAGTTGCATCCGCCTAATAATCTCTGCAGCCCTCCTCCTCCCTGCTTCGTTCCTTTTCCTCTGCATCTTCGTTTCGTTCTCTGAGCACTTGGTCGCGTCGAGCTGCCATGAGGATATGATAACGCGCTCGAATCCCGGGTTGGCCCAGGGCGCGGGCGGCGCAGAGATCCCCACAGCCCCGGTGGGTGGACTATGTGATGGGTTGAGAAATGAAGCGTTTTGGGGTTCGAGACCCCCATGACGCGTTGCCAGAGCGTTGATGTAAAAGAAGACTGCGAGCATGCACGTGCCTGCGGAAGCGACGACGACCATGAACAACCAGGTTAGCCAAACTGTGGCGAGATGAAGCGGAGGCTAAGTGATGGGTGAAAGCGCATGACAAAAAAGGGCGCCGGAACGTCGCCGCCGCGGTGGCGTCGACATGTGTGTGGTCTGCTTACGCTGTAACTCGGTTCAGTGTAGTGGGTAGTCTTTCAGCGTGGCGGAGTGTGGGTGGTTGGTTTATTTGATCCTCGTTATACGGTATGATCGCTCGTGTCCTTGACTGTGTGGGTGCTAGGTGTGGGTTGGGGCCTGGCGCGCGTGTTGAGTCGGCCAGAGAAACGAGGTGGGGGGTGGTGTATCTGGTGATATTTTGGTGGGCGTGTGTTGGGAGTATGTGGTCTCGGTGTCTTGCCTCGCCTCCATGGCACAAGGAAGGTTTGTTTGAGGTTTACCACGCGCCCGCCCTGTGGCGGTTGTGGCTGTGTCTGGGGTTCGCGTGTGAGCATAAGGCGGAATCAACAAGTGATGCAACAGAAGATATTCACGGCGCCAGTTGGTGCTCATACCAAAACGTGGTGGTGTGGGTGGGTGTTTGCTGTGACTCCTGGTGGTTTGTCGTTATTGTTACATGGCGGACTGTACAAACGAAAATGAACAAGAGTGTGGTGGGAAATGAGCGATGGTGATCAGTGGAGGTTCGGCCGCCATGGTTATGTGAAAAGAAGCCTCAGACGGAAATTGTAAAGTTATCGTGTCTGTAAAGTGTACCCGCCAGTCACTAATTGTGGATTGCTAAATGACAGTTGTGGGGAATGAGAATATATTAAAGTAGAACACGGTCTTAAATGAAGCCAGATGTGAAAACAGACCCAGGTAAACCACGTGGTGGTGAGCCAGTAGTGTCTCAAACAATTTTTTTTACCACTCAGGCTTTACCTGCATCTACTGTATTCATAGCAGGAGAGAGAGAGAGAGAGCTTCAGGCTGCGCGCTCAATTAGCCTAAATGGAAACAGTTTTCATTCACCGCAATAACTCACCCTTCTCTTCCCTCATCTCTTCTCCCTTCTCGAGCACTTTCTCGATCCATATTTTATTATGATACGCTGAACCCGGTGGCAGGGCGGAGCGGCGCAGAGATCCCCACAGCCCCGTGGATTGTAATTATTAGAAATTAATTGGGTTCGAGACCCCCAACGGTTGCAAGTATAAAAGATTACCTCACTTCTTTCACTTTGCGCTGAAGTCACACACAAACACCAGTTAGCAAACTGATCATTAATTCGGATTCAATATTGTTTAAATCGATACAAAAATGTGTGAACTCTTCGGGGTGGGCTACATTTGTACTGTATTACAGTAGGGGTACATTCAGCTGGTGAGGGGTTAAAACATAGCACGGTGTGTATTGGGGGCTGTCGAGGCAGAGTAAAAGTGAAAAGGCAGCCTCCGGCACAAGGAAATTACCAGCGCCCGCCTGACCTTTGAGCAAGGTAATCAATCAAGTGATCAACAGGGATATTTATCACTGCTTTGTCCAACCAAACCTGCGTCTACAAACAAAATAAAAGATGTGAAATGAGGATGTTGATATTCAGGTAGGTTGGCCTCCATTTATTAAAATAAGCAGACAGTAAATTATCTTTTCTTTTAAGGTACCTCATTCTACCTAATTTATCGCTAAATACATTTTTTGAATAGAATAATATTAAATAATACAATCTGGTCTAAATAAGCAGAAATCGAAAACAGACCCATTTTTAACACTGTAGGCCCATATTTTGTCTTCAAACATATCACAGGCCTGCTGCATGTTAGAAACATGTGTTCAGTCAGGACTTGATTTTTATTTCATATTTCTCACAGTCATCTGGTAAATATAAGATTGCAATGCTTCCCTCGCTCGTCTTGCATTTTGTTACAGTGTACAAAAAATGGCAAAGATTGATTTGGCTCAGTGCGCGCTGCCCCTGTGTGGAGAATTATCGACCCAATCAAACGCAGTGAAAGCTTCCAATGAACAGCTAATACAATGAAATAATACACGGAGGAAAGAATCCCTCCTCGCATTATCCACAGTTTAAAACAAACAGAACACTGAAAGCAGACAGCAAGAGTTAAAGAGGAGATTTTTAACCAAACTCACTCTATATACACATTTATTATTTTTCATTAGATGTATTTTTATATTGTGTTTTCTGACAGCAGGTAATTCAGAAATGAAGGAAACGCCAAGTGAACGCTGGATAAAACCATGGCTTATAAAACGCCTGTCAGTTTCAACCGGAGCAGGTGCTAAAAAAAAAAAAAAAAAAAGCCATCGGTATAATATTACTTGTTGTACACAGATACATTTTATATGCGCACGATTTGGACAATATAAAGTAACGTGAGACAATCTAAAGAGAAGTCAGATCTGCCAGATAAAAGCTGCTGTGGTACAACCTTTACATCGGGTAATCAATTATGAATTTTTTTTTTTTTTAGACGAATTCGATGTATGAGCTTATATTTCTTTACACTTATTTTTTATGAAGACATAATTATTCTATCAAAAACAAAATACCATTGTATTTGTTTAGAAGAAATATCATCGCAGCATGTCAGGATGAAAACAGACATTTTAATTTCCCAAAACATGGGAAATGTGTTCTGTCCTGACGATATCTCTTTATTATATTTGTGGTTAAATGAACTAAGATGGCGCAAATTGGGTTATAATTTGGAC